GTAAGTTAATGGCACAGCCAAGACTGGTGACTTCCAGTCTCGAGTTTCTTCTGCTGCAATGAGATGGTGCCATTTACTTTGCTAATAGCTGCAGCCCACTGAGCAATAAAGCTGCTCCAATGGAAAGCTTTGAGAGTTACCCTAATTTTGGAAGCTCGACAAACGAATACATGCTGAGGTGCTCAGGTTGCAGACAGCCACGGCTGAGAAATAACAACACCTCAGACATGTGGGCCTTCATACTGATTAATGGTCTTTGAGCTGATCATTGCACAGATAATCAGAATACGTATGTCCCTTGTGAATTTTACCTAGGAAATAAAATTAAAAGTTGGGTTTTGGTGTGAGGAGTAAAATATTTGGACTGGGAGTCTGATGTTGAGTTCTAATGTCTGCTCTCTTACTAATGTCTATGTGATCTTTGGCAAGTCACTTAGTTTTCATATCTGTAAAATGAGGAAGTTGGAATAGATTAGCTCTAAAATGTTTTTATCTATAATAATGGTGTTAATGATAATTTGCATTTCTATAACACTTTAGGATATAGAAAACAGTCCCCATCCAGCTCTAGCATTCTGATTTGGTGCAATGAAATGAACATTGGACCTAGGGTCAGGAGACCCAAGTTGGGGGTCTGGCTCTACCACTTGCCAGCCACACGACTTTAGGCAAATCACCTTCTCTTTCTGAGTCTCCATTTTCTCATCTGTAAAATGGGAACTAGAATTGTAAAATAGAACTTTGTGAAGCTACTTGCCTCACAGAGTTGTTGTGAGGAAAGTGGTTTGTAAAACACTATATAAATACAGCAATGATGATTACGATGATGATTTGTTTATGATTTGGAAACAAAGGATTTCCTCACTAACCCCAGCACCAATGCATCTTCTTATTTGGAAGCTGCAAGAAGGTAAACACATATCTGGTCTGGGGTCTAGAAATCTCCCTGCAGCACTGGGGCTGAAAAGTTTAGGCCTGCAGACTGTACTATCAATTTAGGACCCACCATTTGCAAATATTTCTCTTAGAGAATTTCATTTAGAAAGAAGGAAGGAAATCAGCATTTATTAAGCACCTACTATATGCCAGGCACTCTGCAAAGCACTTTACAAATATCTCACAACAACCCTGGAAGGTAGGTGCTATTATTATCCCCATTTTACAGGGGAGGAAACTGACAGTGGTTAAGTGACTTACCCAGGATTATACGACTAGTGATTGAGGCTGGATTTGAACTCATGTTTTTCTGACTTGAGGACTAGTGCTCTATCCACTGTGCCATCTAATGGCCTCCATGAGGCAGTAAGGGGGCTCACCAAGCCAAGATTCATTTCACCCTGTGATTTATTTCTGCAACCTTGATGTTCTAAGGAGGATATGTTTCCTGTGATGTGAGGGAGAGATAAGGGAAGAAAGAGGCACATGAGAGAACGGTCTGATTGAGGTCATTTGGAAGAAATTAGATGATGACCCCCTATCAGTATGATAGGATCAGTACTGGAGTGGTTTGCCGTTTCCTTCTCCAATGAAGTAAGGCAAACAGAGGTTAAGTGATTTGCTCAGGATGACACAACGAATGAGTATTTGAGGCCAGATTTGAACTCAGGTCTTCCTGACTCCAGGCCCAACGCTCTATCCACTAAACCATGTAGCTGCATCCTATATTAGACATCTAATATAAGCATAGATATATAAAATTATAAGTAAATCAGGTAAGAATATCGTACTGATAGGGGGGCCATCATCGAGTTTCTTCCCAATGACCTCAATCAGGCCCCTCTCCCATGTGCCTCTTTCTTTCCTTGTCTCTCCCTCACATCACAGGAAATATATCCTCCTTAGAGCCGTTTGGTGCACATGTGCTTAGTATTGATATTACGTCATTGTCTGTGGTACCTTTTAGCAAAATGTAGCTTCTCTTCTAATCTCTTTTAATTAGATCTATTTTTGCCTTTGTTTTGTCTGAGATCATAATTGTTTCCCCTGCTTTTTTTTTTTTTAACTTCAGCTGAAGCAAGATATATTCTGCTCCAGCCCCTTACCTTTACTCTGTGTGCGTCTCTCTGCTTCAAGTGTTTTTTTTGTAAACAACATATTGTAGGACTCTGGTTTTTAATCCATTCTGCTATCTGATTCCATTTTATGGGTGAGTTCCTCTCATTCACATTCACAGTTATGATTACTAACTGTATCTCCATCCATCCTACTTCCCTCCTCCCTGTTTCTCTCTCTCTCTCTCTCTCTCTCACTCTTTCTCTCTCTCTTCACCCTCTCCCTCTTCAAAAGTGCTTTGCTTCTGACCACTGCCTCCCCCAATCCACCCTCCCTTCTATCAACCTCCCCTCCTCTTATCCCCCTCTCCTCCTACTTCACTGTAGCATAAGTTATATTTCTGTACCCAACCAAGTGTGTATATTATTCCCTCTTTGAGCCAATTCCAATGAGAGTAAGGTTCAAGTATTGCCTATCATCCACCCCCAACCCCATCTTCCCCTCCACTGTGTTAGCCTTTTGCACCTCTTTTATGTGAGATAATTTACCCCATTCTACCTCTCATTTTCCCCCTTCTCCCAGTGCATCCTTATTTCTCACTCCTTAATTTAATTTAATTTTTTTATATCATTCCATCATAGTCAATTCACACCCATGGCCTCTGTCTATGTATCCTCCTTCTAACTGCCCTAATAATGATAAAGTTCTTAGGAGTTACAAGTATTATCTTTCCATGTAGGAATGTAAACAGTTTAACCTTATTGAATCTCTTGTGATTTCTCCTGTTTATCTCTTTATGCTTCTCCTGAGTCTTGTATTTGAAAGTCAAATTTTCTATTCAGCTCTGGTCTTTTTCATCAGGAATGCTTGAAAGTTCTCTGTTTCGTTAAATGTCTATTTTTTTTTTCCTGCTGAAGGATTATACTCAGTTTTGCTGGATAAGGGGTTCTTGGTTGTAATCCTAGCTCCTTTGCCCTCCAGAATAGCGTATTCCAAACCCTCTGATCCTTTAATTTACAAGCTGCTAAATCTTGTGTTATTCTGACTGTGGCTCCATGATATTTGAATTGTTTATTTCTGGCTGCTTGCAATATTTTCTTCTTGACCTGGAAGCTCTGGAATTGGGCTATAATATTCCTGGGAATTTTCATTTTGGGATCTCTTTCAGGATGTGATTGATGAATTCTTTCAATTTTTATTTTACCATCCGGTTCAGGGTAGTTTTCTTTTATAATTTCTTGAAACATGATGTCTAGCCTCTTTTTTTGATCATGGCTTTCAGGTAATCTGATTCTTATATTATCTCTCCTCAATCTATTTTCTAGTTCAGTTATTTTTCCAATGAGATATTTCATATTTTCTTCTTTTTTAAAAAATTATTTTGATTTTATTTTATTGTTCCTTGATGTCTCATGGAGCCATTAGCTTCTGCTTAGCCAATTCTAATTTTTAAGGAATTATTTTCTTTAGTGAGCTTTCATACTTCTTTTTCTATTTGGGTAATTCTATTTTTTAAGGAGTTTTTTTTTTAACCTCTTTTTTGTACCTTGGTTTCCATTTGGCCAATTCTACTATTTAAGGAGTTCTTCTCTTCTAGTGGATTTTTGTGCCTCTTTTACCATTTGGCCTATTCTGTTTTTTAAAGAGTTATTTTCTTCAATTTTTTTTGTTCCTCCTTTACTAAGTTGTAGACTCTTTTTTCATGATTTTCTTGTATTTCTCTCAATTTTTTTTCATTTTTTTTCCTCTACCTCTCTTATTTAATTTTTAAAATTCTTTTTGAGCTCTCCTAGGAATTATTTTTTGGGTCTTAGACCAATTCACATTTTTCTTTGAGGCTTTGACTCATTGACATTTGATATTGTCTTCTGAGTTTTTGTTTTTGGTCTTCCCTGTTACCACAGCAACCTTCCATTGTCACTTTCTTTTTTTGATGTTTGCTCATTTTTCTAGCCTATTTCTTGACTTTTAGCTTTATGTTAAAGTTGGGTTCTGTTCTTGGGGTGAAGGGGGCACTGTTCCAATAGCAGGTTTTCCATGCCGCTGTTTTCAGAGCTAGTTCCAGGGCTCTGTAAGTTTTCAGTTCTTCCAAGGTGGTATGATGTAAGCAGAGATGTGGTCACTCTTCTCCTGGCCTATACTCTGGTCTGTGAATGACCAAAAGCATTCTTTTCCACCCTGGAACTTTGACCAGGGTCCCTGCTCCTTCCGGTCCTCCTCCTTACCCTGGGACTTTATCCTGGAACTAAGTATGGGCAATGCAACAGAGCCCTGTTCTCAGTGCCCTTGTAATCTCCTTCTGACTAGTTGTCTGACCCCCTCACAGTCTGTGAGCTGAGAGCTGTGCTGATTCAGTCACCCCCAAGGCCTGCTGCTGGCTTGCTGGGGTAGGGTCCACACTGAACTGTGCTCTACTCTCACCCTAGTGAGACAGACCTTCCCTGCCAACCTTCTAAGTTGTCTTGAGCTGGAAAATTGCTTCACCCCATCCTTTGACTGGTTTTGCCACTTCAGAATTTGTTTTGAGGCATTATTTTAACATTGTTTGAAGGAGAATTTGGGAGAGCTCAGGTAAGCCCCTGACTTTACTCCCATTCTACCTGTTTAGGTATGTTTGGACTATATTCCCTCTGAGGTCCTTTCCAACTGAGATTTTGTATTTCATAGGTGATAATAATGAAAATCAATGCTTTATATTTGTATGTATTCTATTTTATACCATTCAAACTTCTTCTCTTCTATTATCTCATCTGATTATTTCAACATTTCCATGAGGTGTGCATCATTATGCCTGATTTACAGATGGAAAACAGTGACATAGAGTTTAAGTGACTTGCCTGATCAGTTAGTGGTGGAGGGATGACTTGGAGCTCCGTGTATTTTCCATCATAATATAATCCTCTCTGGGGCTTCATTTGGCTCAGATGTCAGAGAAAGGTCTGGGAAGGTCTGGAAAGGTCTGGAAGGGCTGGGAGAGTTACACCACAAAACTGTGTTTGTTCTTACAGCCGTGACCTGCGCAGTATCAGAGTGGAGTGGTTGGAGCCGGTGTGTTGAACCCTGCACTGTCACTTTTCGAGTTCGGAGGAGACAAGTCCTAAGAGAGCCAAGAAATGGGGGTGGCCCCTGCCCCCCACTGGAGGAGAGGGCCGGTTGTGTGGAATACTGGAACCATCAAGGGGTGGAGTGCAAACAGGCCCTGAGTGAGTGCCAGGAATGGACTAAAGAGACAAAGTAGAGAGTCAAGTCTTTCCTGAAACAGCAAATTGGGGAAACTTTCTAAAAGCCCCAAGTGCCAGAGGAGATAGCATGGCATAGTGACTACCAACCTCCCTGGACTTCCTTTAAATCCCAACTTCTGCAGGAAGCCTTCCCTAAAGCCTCTTGATTTCAGGGCTTTCTGTCTTTTAATTATTTCCTATTTATCCTCTATAGAGTTTACTTTCTATATATTTATTTGCTTTTTGTCTCCCCCATTAGATTGTCCTATGCTTCTTTTTGTATCCCTGGCCTTCAGCACAGGGCCTGGCATATAGTAGGCACTTAATAAATGTTTATTTATTAATTGATTGCTGGTGAATAGAGTGATGGACTTGCAGTCAGGAAGACCTGGGTTCAAATCCTACCTTAGACATGAAATAGCTGTGTGACCCTGTTCAAGTCACTTACCCTTTCACTCTGTTTTCTCAATTGAAAAATAGAGGTAGTGCTAGCACTTATCTCACAGAATCATTAATAAGAATAGCTTGCATGTATACAGCACTTTACCTATCTTATCTCAGTGATCCTTACAACAACCCAGTGAAGTAGGTGCTATTATCATCCCCACTTTAACCATGAGGAGAGCAAGGTTGAGACAGGTTAGATGACTTGCCCAGGATCACATAGTGAGCAAGTGTCTGAATCAGGATTTGAACTCAGATCTTCTTGACTCTCAGTCTAGCTCTTGATACATTTCACCACCTGCCTGCCTGCTACAATGAGGATCAAGTGAAATAATAGATGCAAAGTATTTTGCACATTTTAAAGCACTATATAAATATGAGTCATTGTTGTTATCATTATTATTAACCCTGAGGGCACACAGGATTTCAGACTTGGGAAGATCCCTAGAATATAGAATTATAGAGCAAAAACAGACCTTATAACATAGAACATAGAATTATAGTGCAGGCTGGGCCCTTAGTGGGAAATGACTTGTCCTGGGTCACACATCTAGTAAATGGCAGAGCTGAGACTCAAATCCATTTCCTCTGACTCCAACTCCAGAGGTCTTTCTACTATAAGATACATCTGGAGGTAGAGGGTTGGCTGATGAATCTCTAGGGTCTCAGTTCCAATATCTTTTAGCCTCATCCAGCCCAATCAAATTTTGAAGCTCTTGAGGGAAAAAAAATCTTTACTCAGAGCCAAGAAGATGTGGTTCCAGTTCTAGCTCTGTCACATACTGGCTGTGTGACCCTGGGTAAGCATTTCATTTTTTAGGGCTCCAACTAACTCTCTAAGACCCTAAGTTGCAAAGAAGATGCTGCCTTACATTGCGGAAAGAATCTTGTCATCTGGGAATGCTCTGTACTAATGAAATCTTATACCTATCAGGGTTCACCTGTTTGGGCTAGAACTCTGTTTTATTCTGCCCTGTTTTAGAGTTTGAATTCTAGTGCCTTGTTACTACCTGGGGCATTCTTGTCTTTTCCAGGCCTTAATTTCTTCATCTGTAAGAAAAAGAGCATAAAAATAGAGCAGTGGTCTCAAACTCAAACAGAAATATAAACAATTAAACTGTACAAAAGGATCCCTTCCAGCAGCATATTGATTTAGAAAACCACAGATGAGTATTATCTATGTTCTATTGCATTTTTATTCTTTAGTTAAATATTTCCCAATTACATTTTAATCCAACTCACTCAAGAGTGTTGTTGGCTGCCTAGGCTGTGTGTTTGACACTTCTGACCCAGATATTGTCCAAGCAACATTCTAGCTTCAAATGCTATGATCCTGTCCCCTTTTCAGTCCTGCTGCCCCCACTCCCAGCCTAATTCCAGGAATAGGAATGGAATTCTCGTTCTGGGAGTTCCAAATCTTGTTCTGACAACTGGGACTAAATTGGGATACTGAATCATGGGGTAATAGCTAGCCAGGCAAGATACATATGGATGACGTAATCCCCTTCATACAACCTGTATTTCAATCAAACTGGATCTCTTGCTATTCCTTGATCAGTCCTGTCTTCTTCCATCTCTGTGCTGTACTGATACCCATCCTGGTGACTAGAATGGATTTTCCCTCTTCCCCCAAATCTTAAAGCTGGAAGCAAGGGTGAGCAGTAAATGTTTAACAACCTGCTCTCTGAAAACAATGCTTCATTACAATATTGCTCAGGACACATTTTTTTTAGTTTAATCGGCTTTACTAATATTTTCTCTATCACTTCCTTAAGCTGAAACAATCAGCAAAACTGATAACTCAAACCTTGATTTGTAGTATTTGCTGATTTCTGATGTGTAAATGCTCACACTGAAAATTTAATGATCGGCTCTCAGAAACCTGTTTGAGTTTACTCTAACACACTTCTGGTTGGAAAGAGACTCAGAAGTCATTTAATACAACTCTTACCTGAACGGAAATTCTGTCCACAACATCTCGGGCAAGTGGTCATCCAAGCTTCCCCCACTGTATCTCCATCTAGAGCCAAATATAGGTCTGTAACCCTAAAATGAGATCACTTTGAATGGCATAAAAATTACATATAAATTGAAAAATGACACCAACTGTAGGCTGCATTTGGGTTTATACAAGGCAGATTGGGGACAAAAGCGTGGCTTAAATTTAGCCTCCTCTGGTCATCGTGACTCACTTTTGTTATTAAGTAGTAGAAAGAAGCAGAAGAGATAATAGATACAAATATCGATGAAACACTCACTGTGTGCTGGGAGAGGCACAAAGTTAGATACGATACAGTTGCTGCCCTTGTGGTATTCACACCGTCGTGTGATAGAATGAGCACTGGGTTTGTGCAACCCTTGGGCAAATCACTTGACTTCTGGGCCTTGGTTTATATGACTCTAAAATGAGAGGTTGGACCAGATGATCTTTTAAATTCCCTTCCAACTCTATCAATCTATGTTCTAAGGTCTAGGTCCATTCTAACTCTTCTATACAATGTGGGGTCGTAGGACCAGATGGATCTTAAGGTCCCTTCTGGCACTAAATCTTTTTTTTTTCTTAATTTAATTTAATTTATTTTTCTTTGTTACATTTTAAATTCCAAACTGTCTACCTCCCTCCCTCCCCACCCCACACTATGCGTACTTCTATTTATCAGTTTTTTCTCTGGAGGTGGATAGCATCTTGCTTCATAGGTCCTTTGTAGATGATTTGAGTATTTGTAGTATTTATAATAACTTGGTTGTTCACAGTTGTTCTTTGAACAATATTGCTGTTACTATATACAACATTCTCATGGTTCTGTTCATTTCACTCTCCATCATTTCATGCAAGTCTTTCTATGTTTTCCTTAAGTCAGACAGCTTATCATTTCTTCCGGCACAGTAATATTCCATCACAATCATACACTGCAACTTATTTAGCCATTCCCCAATTGATGGACATCCCCTCAGTTTCCATTTAGTATTAAATCTTTGTGATCCAATGAGCTAACCATAAAACCCAAATTCTATTATAGAGAAATTGTGAGTAGGGCAGGAAAGCCCTGGAATTGTCTGTCTTATAGACACTCCTTCCTGATTGCCACCTTGGGTCTTTTGCCCAACGCAGCCCCTATGATTCACTGCAGTCATTTTGGGTTTTTGGAAGAATTCATCAGCCTTCTGTGAATTGGCTCACAGTTCTTCTCTCTTGTCCTCTCTCCTCTGCAATCGCCCTGACCAAAAACCTGCTTGTTGGTGGGAGGAATGGTGAGCCTAGGCTTTCAGTGCAACTGAAGGATTATTTTTTCTAATGGATTGAATGCCAAATTGGACCAGCCTTGGCCCTCCTGCAGATAACTGTGTTGTCTCTCCAGGAGCCCTGGCTCAGGGCAGTTACTCACTCAGTCCTGTTCTCTCTCTCTGGCCCCCACAGTCCCAGCTCTCATAACCACTGGGGCCTTCCGGAATGGGAGGAAAAAGAGGGCCGTGGCCTATGAGAGAAAGTCAGTTGGGTAAGTAGATAAGAACTGGGACCTAGAAAATGTCTCCTGGGGCTAAACTTGGGGCATGTTACTTTCTGAGTTCTAGTTTCCCATTTGTGAAATGGGGAACGATAATCCCCACCTTGTCTATTACAGGGGGTTAATGTGAGGATTGAATGAGCTGATATGTGGAAAGTACATTTAAAACCTAAAAATCTTGTGTAAATGTAAGTTACTTCAAAAGGTCCACCATTTTACTAGCCTAGGCACTTCCTCTACCAGCCTAGATCTAAACCCCTTTGTGCCAGAGTAGAGTCTACACAGGTTACTATGGACAAAAAAATCACCCCCTGGTGGCCAATCTTTAGGTAGTCTTCCCATAATTAGCTAGGCTGGGCCTTGAGGGATAAGCAAACATGGCAGGTCCGTCACTGGGCTCATGCTCAAAGGCTTTCCATCTTGGGGGTTCTTGCCAGAGCTCATACTCCACCGGCAAAAGTTTCAAGAACTGGGGGGGTCATGAGCACCCCATGAAGACGAAACATTGGAGGAGGTCTGTGATGGAGGGTAAATCTCACTTAAAAGAACAATGAGAAAAACAAACTTTCATCTTGTTATTGCTCTTCTTGAAAATCTTTCCAGGACTCCTTGTTTCCTACTGAGTCAAATTCAATCTTCATAATGGAAAGTGCATTGGACTAGAAATGCAGGAAAACTGAGTTTGGATCTTAGCTCTGATATTTATTAGCTTTGTGACTATGGGCTAATCACTTCAGGTCTCTCGACCTCAGTTTCCTCATCTCTAAAAAGGGGATAATAATAGCACCTATCTCATTGGATTGTTGTGAGGATCCTATGGGATAATATATGTAATTACTATTATTGTTGTTATTGTTATTACATTCCAAGATCCCTTCCAGCTCTGACATTCATTCCCCAATGTTAAAGCAATTTAAAAATGTTTGTTTGTTTGTTATTGTTGTTATGCCCATGCTTTCTGTAAGGGTCATAGAGTGAAAAGAGAACTTCGATGAGTGGAGTCAGGCCCTATTAATTGGTAATAATTCATACTCATAGGATTTAGAATTTACAAAGTTCTTTATCTGCAAAATGCGAATAAAAATACCTGCGCTTCCTCCTTCAGAAGGTTGTTGTAAGGAAAGTGTATTGTTGACCTTAAAGTGCTATGGGCATACTATAATTATTATTGTAATAATACAGTATCAATATACAGTATCATAATAATAATAATAATAATAATACAGTAATCATTATTGTTAGCCAGTTTTTAGGTGGTGTAATGGATAGAGTGTTTGGCCTGGAGTCAGGAAGACTTGAGTTCAAATCCCTCCTAAGACACTTACTAGTTGTGTGACTCTGGGCAAATCACTTAGTCTCTGCCTCAGTTTCTTCATCTGTAAAATGGGGCTAATAACAGTACCTACCTCTCAGGTTTGTGGAGAGATTCAAATGAGATAATAATTGCAAAATGCTTAGCACAGTGCCAGATACATAGTAAGCACTATGTAAATTAGCTATTACTATTTTTGTTCCTGATATCAGGTAAAAAAAATATTCTGCTAATTAGGTTTTGTGGAAAAAAATATTCTTTGTTCACTAATCCATCCAAAGAGCATTTATTTAGTGCCTATTATGTGCTAAATAAGCACTGTGCTGGGGACTGGGAATACAAAGAAAAAAAGGAAACTATCCCTTCTCTCAAGGAGCTTGCCTTCTATTGGGGGAAGCACTATGTTCTTAGGGAATTAAATACAACATACATAAGTCATTTCCCTGAGGAGAGTGCTAGCAGGTATGTGTCTCAAGTTTTTGTTAAGAAAACATGCTCATTCTTCAGGTGTATAGTGGGCATCACCTTTCTTGCCCTCTCAGTGAGTGGGTGAGGAGATGAAAGGAAGGGGAGCATCTGGAACTGAAAATAAAAGTTAAAAAAAAAAAAAGAAAGTATGGTCATTGGAGAGCCTGCTGTGACCTCTGTTCTAATTTCTTTCTGCTCCCCAACATGTGTGACCACAGATCAGTTTACATTTCTAGAGGAAAAGCCCTTTTTTCTGCTGAATGACCCTCTGGACTAAATGTTGTATTTTACAGGTGAGAAAAGGAGGGCAAGTGACTTACCCCAAGACTCACCCAAAAGTAAATAGCAGTGCCATAATCAAACCCAGGTTCCCTGACTCCAAATCACAGCAATCCCTGCCTCCTCTTGGTTTTGCAGGAGGAAATTAAAGCCTAGAGAGGAGAAATTACTTGTCCAAGGTCACACAGCAAGTTAAGAGGCACGATGAGAGCTAGAAGACTGTTGGAAATCTGACTTCTAGCCCAGGCACTTTATACGGTGCTATATGGCTTTTTCCGTGAAAAAAGCGATTATTTGCTCTCTGGGGGAGGGGTTCTTTGCTGGCTTTGGGGAGGGTGTCTTTGAATTTCCTTTAGTTCAGTGATCTGCAGCAGAGCCATGGCCAACAGGCCGATGCAGTCCAAAATGCTCTTGAGTGCTCCTGAACCAGATTAAAATGTAAGTGGGAAAAATTTAACAAAACAAACAGAAATACAGTAGAACACAGACAACATTACAGTTTAAAACTAAGTTACTTTGCAGCCTGCAGGGATCCTTATGTGTGGTTTAGTGACTTGTGTTTCTGTTTGTGTTTGACACCACAACTCTCCAGCACACACTGGGCCAGTCCTGGGAACCTTGTCCCCGCTAGAGCCCAAAGCCAGTAACTTAGGACAGGGCTGAAAAACTACAGCTCTATTGATTATTTCTGAGATCCTCAGAAGCTGCTGCCACGAGAGGGTGCCAGAGGCACATAGTCACAGATGCATTGGTGGGGAGGGCAGTTTCCCCCTTTCCCCAGCAGGGGGCAATATTGTTAGTCTTCTCTTCCGTGCTCCACAACCCTCCTCCCCCACAATAGGTCTTCACAAAGTTGAAGGCAAATAGAATTTTTGTAAATTGAATTACATTTAGGTGTCTTAGGACAGCTTCTTGGATAAAGGAATCCAGTGGAAATTTTTTTTTAACAGTGATGCATCCTTTTATAAATTGAATCATCACTCCCCTAATTGGAAATTTTTATATGGCAAAGTTACTGAAAGCAGGGCAAACCTGTGTCTTCTTGGGTCAATGACTCCACTTTCTAAGTGGTGAAGCCCAGAAAACAAGGGTCAGTGACCAACAATGTACATTCTTCTTTTTGTGCAATAGTTCAAGTTTCTCAATGGCAATGAATGGTAGTGATCACCATATGAGTTATAGTGAGGTTCATTGCTATTGGTTAAGCAGTGGTAATAAACTTTTTTTGGAGAATGGAAGTCTCCCCATGAAGATCTCTGTGGGTGCCGTGAGCTGGTAGTAGAGTCCGCCTCAGAAATAGTAGCACTTAGTGAGGAAAGCATGGAATATGGAGTCAGAGGAGCTGGGTTCAAATCACAACTTTACTACTTGAAAATAATAATAGCTGGCAGTTATATATTACTTGAAAGGTTGCAAAGTGCTTTGCATAAATCATCTCATTTGGTCTTCATAGCAACCCTGTGAGAAACATACTATAGATACTGTAGACAGTTTTACAGATGAGGCATCTGAGGCTCAGAGTGATAAAGTGGCTTACCCACAGTCACGCAACTAGTAAACGTCAGAGCTAGAATTCAGACTTGATCTTTCCTGACCCTAGGTCCGTCCTTTTTTCATTATACCATACTCTCTTCTGTGTAATCTTTGGTTCTCTGGCTATCAGTTTTTTATCTGTAAAAAGAGGTTAGACTGAATCATCCCTCAGAGTGCCTTCCAGCTCTAAATCCTATGCTCTTAGCAATTGTGAGGTGTTTTGCTGCCCAACTATCTATTCAATAAATGGGTAGAGCACAGGATGCTTTATCTGAAAATGTCAACTGTAACATTAATAATTAAGCTTTATCTCTTTGAGATTTTTGAGTCTTAAGTCTAGAAGTGTAAATGAAATTAGACTTAGGGGAAGAAGAAACATCCTAAAACCATGACCAGTCAACATCCTTAGTTATGAAGGGCAAAGACCATTAGATTAAGACCTAGGTCTAGGAGATTAAGCTCCAGCTCCACTATTGCTACTATGCATAACTTTAGGTCAATCACTTCCCCTTTATTTGGGCCTCAGTTTACCCATATGTAAAATCAAGGGTTTGGGCTCTTCCAGCTCTTAATATTCTCTACCCTATGCATGGAATTGGAGGCTATTAGATGACACAGTAGACAGAGTGCTGTACTTAGAGTCGGGAAGACTTGAGTTCAAATCCTGTCTCAGATACTTAACTAGCTGTATGATTGTGTGAAATGGGCAAATCACTTAAGTTCTTTCAGCTTCAGTTCCCTCATCTGTAAAAATAGGGATGATACTATCACCTAACTTACAGGGCTGTTGTGAGGGTCAGACAAGATAATATGTAAAGCATTTTTCAAACTTTAAAGTATAATGCAAATGTTAGCTATTATTTTTATGTCCTTAGATCCTTTCCATTTCTAATGTTGTGAGTTCCAGGGTGTCTTCCCATTCTGACATTCTATATTCCATGTTATCAGTCAATCAACAAGCCTTTATTAAGCTCCAGTTACATGTTCCAGGCACTTGCTAGGCACTGGGAATATGAATGCAAAAGTGAGAACATCCCTGCCCTCAAAGGGAGGGGGGGCATTCTGTTGGGAGAAATGCAACCTGTCCCTTTTGCTTCTCTCACATTATGTGTTCTATGTTCTAAGGTCCCTTACTATTCTGGGTCCATGATGAGCAGGTAACCCTAACCGTCGCAGCGATTAATAGGAAAAGGGACACAAGATTAGGTTGTTTGTAGAGGGCATTGACATGGACAAGTGGGAGAAAGGGGCCTTAATGAGGAAGTAGGAGCATAACAAAGATTTTTTTTTATCCTCTGGTTGGTGGGTTGGAGGTGGGAATGGTCTCAGCATTTACTCTATTATTGCTAGTAAATATGGTTGTATGTATGTGTGTTTCCTTGTGTTGGCTACAGGTACTGTGTCATGTTCCAGCTTGTGACCATCACTGTGGGCTGCCTTCAGACAAGGGCCCCCTACACTCAGTGGATGAGGTACCTCACCCAAGGGCATGTGGTCTGTGTGTTGTGTGAGCCGCCTGCCTTGGATATGAGAAGCCTTCGGTGCTATGGGGATGGTAAAGGATCCAGAGGGTGAGAGTCTGGACTTTGGCACTGGGTGGTGTGTGCGTGTGTGTGTATGTGTGTGTGTGTGTGTGTGTGTGTGTGTGTGTGTGTGTGTGTGAGAGAGAGAGAGAGAGAGAGAGAGAGAGAGAGAGAGAGAGCTGTTGACTTGTGAAATGACCTTTGCCTGGCTATTCAACTGATGCTTGGTGTCTGCCTCTCAGGGAGATTATTGGGGGGCGGGATTCCTCTTTTAGGTGGGAGGTTGGAGTTTCACCTTCATGACCTTCCCTGGCCCTCAGTGTCTTCATCTGTAAAATGAAGCAGTTGCACCACATGGCTTCTGAGGCTTTTTCCAGTTCTAGAACTATGATCCTAAGTTTCCTTCCAACTCTGAAAGTTCATGTTCTAACATTGGACCTATACTAAGTTCTAAGATTCTAAGTTCTAAACCCCTTTCCAGCTCTGATATTTTATGTTCTAAGGGTATTTTCAGCTCTAACATTTTGTTTTCTTTGTCCTAAGGTTGCTTCCAGCTTGGACCTTCTTCTGTTTTGTTTTGTTTCTGCACCTTCTCTGACATTCTAGTTCTAGCAATCTTTATTCTAAGGTTCTTTCTGTCTCTGGTGTTCTTTTCTTTTTCATTCTGTGATTCTGAAATTTAGACTCTTTGTTGGTTTATTTCCAACTTCTCCAGCCTTGGGAGATGTAGATCCCTATGAAATGTGTCCAGACGGCCTTGTGGCGACCCTGCAGATGGCTGGACCAACACGCAGGTGCTGCTCCCTTGGAGGTTTATGCTCTGTGCTTTGTTTGTTGCAGGGACCAGCTGTTTCAGTGGCAGGCCCTTGGCAATCCCAGCTGTAGAGGGACCTGGAAGAGATTTCAGCAGCTGGAAGCCTGTTCCTGCCCTGCCGTCCACAGTTTCCTGTTTGTCTAGGGGGCATGAACTTGTGCTATCTACACACAAAGGGCCTCTAAGCTTTGGGATACTGGTGGATGGTACCCTCTCCTAACCTCCCCTTCCCCAAGACTGAAAGCATCCCTTGTCTTACATTCTTCTGGTCATGTGAAGGTCCTCCTCCCTGCTCCCCCTACGAGTCTTAAAAACACTGGAAATCTCCACCCCCACCCCTTTCTGTTTTCTCTTTTTTTTTTCTTTCCCTCTTCCTTATACCAGTCTGGCCTGAAACATCACTGTAGAGAATAAAGATGTTTTGGAGAAACTATAGCTCAGCAATTTTTTTTTTGTCTAATAGACTTAGAAGAAAACCAGACTTAGTAGTAATGTTGGCCCTTATCAAAGTCCTTCCTCTTAACTGGGGCATGCAGAGTATGAGTGTGAATGAGTGAATGGAAGGGCCAAGGTCTTTTAGCTGCCCTGATACCTCCAGCCTGCCTGCCTGACACACATCAGGGCCAAGTTGACACTTCCTTTCAGGTAGAAGGTCAGGATCCTACAAAGACTTGCTAGCAGGATGGATTACAGTGACCAAAACTGATGAGAGATGGATACTATGTCTAGAGAGCAAGGAAAGGACATAGTCTTTAGAGATTGGCTTCCTTGGGTCTCCAATACATCACTGAAGGATGCTTATTTTTGGTTTAGTGGCCTCCATTTCTATTTAAATTTGAGAGATGAACTTTAAGAGATGAACATGGGAGAGAAGAGGCCAATCCAGGCACAGGAGGATGGCATGAAACCAGAAGAGGGAAGGACAGGGCTAGGGAGTAGAAAGTAGTTCAGTTTGGCTGGAATTGAGAGAACAGGAAGGGAAGTAGGATGAGACAAGACTAGAGAGCTAAATCAGAGTCAGAAGAGGGAGGGTCTTGAATGTCTGAGATCAAAGCTCTACTTAATTCCGTAGGTGATGACAACCACTGAAGGTTTTTGTATAGAGTGGCATGATTGATCATGGATGTGTACTAGAACACTTACCTGGGAAGAGATGTAAAGGATAGATCTGAGAGTGAAGATCAGAAGTTGAAGTCAGGGAGACTAATTATAAAGCTATTCTAGTCATTTAGGCAAGAGTTGATGAGGCCTTAACAAGGTGACTGAAGTGGGTTGAGAGGAGGCAATCTCCTCAAATCTTCCCAGGAATGACTTTGTCCCATAAGACTCATCCTCAGCCATTCCCTATCCTAGGCTCCACCTTCTGTCCCACCTCTCTGAGAGCCCAGCCTTATTGTTTCCTCCTTATGCAATCCCCCCCCTCCCCATCTACCTGCCTTTCCTCTCTGCCCCACAGCAGCAAGGCCTAGGGGATTTTTGGGTCACAAGTACTTCATTAAGTATGTATTGAACTTCTACTGTATACAGGACCTCACTGTGGAAATAACAGTGAATAAGATGTAGTCCCTGCCTTTATAGTACAGCAGAGGAAATTGTTTATAGAAAGATTTTTTAAAAAGATTTCAATGTAAAGTGGACATTTTATAGTGACTAGCCCCAATTTGAAAACCATGTATTAGCATATCTTTGTTCTATTGTTTATCTATCTATCTATCTATCCATCCATTCATTCATTTATTTAAATATTTTCTGATTACATTGGTTGGGGCTCTACTGTGGGGCACATAGAGCCTCATGTTAGACACCTCTGTCTTAAAGATCCTTCAGGGTGCCTTCTTTGATCCCCTGGTGGAAGCAATCTCTTCCTTCCTTGAATATCACCCATAGTTTTGCCTTTGCATTTCCTGTGCATTTATCCTTATTTTCATTGTGTCATAATTGGATGTGTATTTGTCCTTTCTGCTATTAGATTATAAACTCCTTGAGGGCAGGGGCCATGTTCATCTTTGTATCCCCAGTACTGAGCATAGGGCCTCTATCACAGTAGGTAATTAATAATTGTTTGCATTGGATTGGATTATCCTGGGTTTCTGGAACTAAGGGGGATTCAGAGGGGGGCCAATAGTTTAAGGCAAAAGGAAATAGCCGTATTGAATCATACTGACCATGTTCTGAAGCTTGATAAGGCTAATTCCCCAGACTGACAGGCAGAGAAGATATCTGGATGATCTGGGGAAGGCAGCTTTCCCCTGGGTTTCCCAGGTGACTTGGGGAGAATGCACATCTTGTCTATGTCCAGTATCCCCACTGTATAGGTCTGTTGGAGGAGAGAGTGTGGGCAGGTATTTTCAGAGGGACAGCCCTAAGGGGTGTGTCATTGTAGAATCAGGCAGAACATGCTGCTTGTTAATTACTGGCTCTTAATTACTGGTTGGGGATTATAGTCCTCAGGTAGTCATGGTCTGTCATGCCCTGAGGAGGTGGCAATAGCATCACTTTCTGCCCCAGAATTCCTCTTAACATTAGACCCTATTGTCCCTGTCTAGTGTGAATCCATGAAAGGACAGTCACTAGAATCCCTTGTGTTCTAAGGTTCCTTCCAGCTCTAACATTCTATGTTTTATATTTGAATGTATCTTCCAGACCCATCAGTCCGAGTTCTAAGACTTCTTTCTGCTCTGACCTTCTATATTCTAGTTCTAAGGTTCCTTCTAGGTCTGACGTCCCATCTTCTAAGGTCCCTTCCAGCTCTGACATCCCGTCTTCTAAGGTCCCTTCCAGCTCTGACATCCCATTTTCTGAGGTCCCTTCCAGCTCTGACATCCCATCTTCTAAGGTCCCTTCCAGTTCTGACATCCCATCTTCTAAGGTGTCTCCTAGCTCTGACATCCCATCTTCTAAGGTTCCTTCTAGCTCTGTCATCCCATTTTCTGAGGTCCCTTCCAACTCTGACATCCCACCTTCTAAGGTGTCTCCTAGCTCTGACATCCCATCTTCTAAGTTGTCTCCTAGCTCTGACATCCCATCTTCTAAGGTTCCTTCCAGCTCTGACATCCCATCTTCCGAGGTCCCTTCCAGCTCTGACAGTCTCTGATTCGACCCACGAATGCATATTGGTTCAGTCTATCCAGTGGTACCATTCAGGTTTGTAGGATCAGAACCCTTTGTGATGGATCTGCTACTTTTGCAAATTTCTGAGCTAGCTGTCAGACACCAGACCGTCCCTCTCTGCCTCACGTACAGTACAGCTTGTGATGAGAGATCAGGACCTGATGGTTTCCTTGTACATTACAAGCATGCAGAGTCTATAATTGGCTCCAAGTGAAATGATCTCATCTCTGAGTACCAAAGAGGGAGTGGCAGGGCTGGGGGGATGGTGGCTTGGAGCTTGTCTTGCTGCTTCTAACATAATTTGTGACTAACATATCTTTGTGAGGCAGAGAGAGAGAAAGGTACTCCGCTCCCTGGAAGATGGTTTGAAAGTTCCAAGAATGGCCTATTAATAAGTAATGAGGCTCCAGTGTGTTGGGTTTGGGAAGGAGGCATTCTGGCAGGGTGCAAAGCCCTTTTGATACCTCAGAGACATGGAACACGGTCCTACCGCATCTTAAAACTTGCAAACTCTAACCCCAAACGATTAATTCTCCCAAACCCTGCTATCAAATCCATCAGAGGGAGATGAGTGTTTGACCAGTCCTTTAGGAGGTTGGCCATTTATGAATTCTTGATCAAGTTATGTGGTCAGTTGCTGCTCTGCCAGCGACCAGCTCAGCTCTGCTAAATGCCCATACGTTAATTTTACGATATATCTCCTAATCATCTCCAAAAAGCTTGTCACGGCACCATCTGTGCAGCATTCGTCATTGCTGCATTACATAAGAGTCAAGACATTTTTAAAGAATGCAGCTACATTTAGGAATTGGAGCGCAGGAGATATTGGAGACCGTCACTCGCAAGGTTCCTGAGCTCTGGGAGATCACTGTTCATTCCTGTGGGGCTAGGTTCCCAGGGTTCTTTGAAAGTGATTCAGGAGCCAGAGTTGTTGGGTGGACCCTGCATGGGGGTGCGGTCTCCCTCTTGGCTTTCTTTCCCTCTTCTGCCCTCCCCCTCTTTTCCTCCCTCACCCCTATTGCCTGCTCCCCCTCTCTTACTTTCCTTCTCTTTTTTTGCTCTTCCCTCTACTGACCTTTGGCTTTCTTCTGTCTGTTTTCTTCTCCCATTACTCCCATCCCAATTTCCTCTTCAACCTTTTGCCCAGTTCTGTTTTGCCCTTCTCTTCTCCTCCTTCACCCCTGGTTCTCCCTCTCTTGACTTGATTCCTAGCTCTCCTCCCTCTCTCCTTTATCTCCTATCACCCTTCGTCCCGCTCCCTTTAAACACAGATTCTCAAAATGTCCCAGCTGGAAGGGACTTTTGAATCTAGAAAGGGCTAGAAGGTCCTTTGGAGCATAGAAGATCACAGATGGAAGATCTTAGAATTTAGAATGTCAGAACTGGAAGAGGCCCTTGATATCATTGCATCCAACTACTTCATTTTAAAAAATGAGGGAACTGAGGCCCAAAGAAAGGAAATGACTTTTCTAAGGTTGCAAAGCTAGCAAGTGGCTGTCCTGGGACTGGATTCCATGTCTCATAACTTCCAGTTAAGTATTCTTATGTTTCATCATCCTTGTCCCTTGTCTTCCCTCTGTCCGCCTCTTAATAGCTTTCTTTTCTCCATCCTCTTTTTCTCATCTTCTGTTCTCTTTCCCCTCTCTTTTTTGTTCCTTTCCCTTGTTCCTCTATCTTCTACTATCTTTTTTTATTTTTAAATTTTCCACTATTTTTTCTCTATCTCATTGACTCTTCATCTCTTGCTACTCCCATATTCTGTCTTCCCTCTCTCCCCTATTTTCCTTTTTCTAGAAGACACAGAGGTCCAATAATTTGAGATCCAGGTCTAAGGGCTGTGACAGTGAGACTTACAGTCTCTTCTGGGCCTGAGAATCTGGACTAGCAGAAACTATCTGGGCAGCTGTTTTCTTATACCTTCTCCTGCCAATCTCAAAGACATTTTAGAACAGAATTAAATTACTGTCGCTCTCCTGGGCCATTAGCCTTTCCATCTATAGTCTCTCCCTTCAGGATAGAACTTGAGCCTTCTTGGTTGTGGCAGGGATCAAAATGGACAAAGTTCTTTTCCCTCTGACTTAAGTGATACCCACTTGAATAAACATGAGACAGCAGGAGACAGCTGCCTTTAAGCATGGACATTCTCTTTTAGAGGTCCATTCCAGCTCTCAGAGATCTGTATTCTGTGTTAAGGCCACTTCTGGGGCTGACATTCTATATTCTATGTTCTGAG